AACTCTGTTACCGAAGACGGCAGCCAGCACAGCAAACGTACGAACGTCGTGGGCACAAGGATAGACTGCAGGCTGGCTGGACAGAATAACCCTGTGGACGACCTGGGAGATCTGAACTCTGGAACAGGGAAGAAGAGAAACCGAGTGAACCCAAAGCACGTCTCCTGCCACCGAAGCCATGGCACACAGGTAACGGCGGAGAGCCGCAACTGGACACAACACAAGATGCACCCCTGGCCTGTTCAACTAAGCATCAATAACCCATGGACCCCTTTGGAAAGCAGCAGTCTCATTCTTCGTCAGAAAAGAAGGAGATGTCTGCAAACGACCAAACCTACCACCAGGACCAAAAGAGCAGAAACCCCTGCGCCGGAGGAGAGCATGAAGCTCCCTGACCCGACCCCCAGAGGCCAATGCCAACAAGAAAAGTGTCTTCTCCAAACAATCCTGAACCGAAGGGGCCACAACAAACTGAGGAGAGGAAAAAGGAGAGCACCCGGTCCAACGACCAGGACGGCTCAGGCGGCGCATGAGCAGGCTGGAGGTGAAGCAACGCATGAGACAGCTTGCAGAACGGCGCAGAAGTAACATTAACGCCGAATGCAAGCTGAAGTGGCTCTGCCAGTGTCGCACAATACAAGGCGACAGTATTCGGCATAAGATGACGGTCCTGGAACAACCACAAAAGGAAGGACAAGACAGCTCTATCAGAAACAGAAGTAAACCTACAAAGGGATAAGAAATAATGGAAGGACCACCAGGAAACTTCATACTGCCACCGAGACGAAGCACGCAGGTGGGACACCATCAACGAAGCCACCTGTTCACCATACAAGTGGTGATAGACCCGCATCAGAAGACCAGACGCGAAAACTTGAGAAGATCGAACCAGCCATGTAACGGACTGGCCTGATTTGCTGAAAGGGGGTGGAGCTGCAGGAAGACCCCCGGGTTCGGACACCGAGCAAGCAGCGCCTGAAACCAAGGCTGGGGCAGCCACAAAGGAGCCAGAAGAACTACTCTCCCCTGGTAAGTCTCCAAGCAAGCTTGGACCTGGAGCAACAGCGGAACCACGGGGGGGGGGGGGGAGGGGGGGGGAGGTACAGGTAACCCCACCTCGACCTGTCCTGCCTGAAGGCATTGACCCCGACCTCCTCGCTCTTGAGGAAGGGCTCCACATGAACCGGGAGATGCCTCGACCACGCCGACAAAGAGGTCCACCTCTGGGAGCCCATACGTCTGGCAGAGTGAACTAAACGATTCGGCATTGACCGCCCATTCCGTGGACACGGGAATGAACCAAGACAGGCCGTTTGCCAGGACGTTGGACACCTCCCAAACATGAACGGCCAGGAGAGCCAAACCCCGAGAACTGAGCAGACGAGTCTCCCGAAGCGACCAGCCCCAAAGAGTCAAGGACTGCATTGAACCCCCGCGGTGCGGCCAGTGAACCTCCGTGGAGCAGTCCAAAGGGAGCCAAATCATCGATCCACGAGTGACTTGAACCCTCTTTAATCGACATCCACACCACAGCGAATTCCCGCACCGATCTGTGGGCCCGATGGAAGGACAGACCCCACCATCCCAGACCAGCCTGGTGGTCACTAAGCCCCAGCCAAGAGACGACACATCCATGAACACATTGAGAGAGAAGCTCTGGTAGGCACCATGGCCCTGAACCCTGAAAAACCCGAAGATGAAGCGGGCAACGGAGCAACCGATGCAAGACCCCCGGAGGCCGAACCCAGCGATTGCGAGAGAGGCAGGAGGGACGTCCCCGAAGGAATCAGAACAGCCGATGAAGCCAAACCTGACCCGGCGAGTAGACCATGCAAAGTTCAGGCTCCCACACAAACCTTCGAGCAACCTCCGCGTGACCCGGGATCCCCCCAGAAACGGCAAAGGTGGGACAGCAGCCAAAGCAGAGCCTCCAGAGGGAGAGCCAAGGAAGGGGTCCAAGAGTCCCACAAAAGAAAGACCCAGCCAAGATCGAACCTGAGAGGAAACCAGGTGGGAGTTCCTCCATTTCACCAGGAACCCAAACCCAGCGAGCTGGGAAAGAACCAAATCCCTGCCGAGCAGACATGCGAACCGGCTAGGAGCCCACACCAGCTAGTTGTCGAGGTAGGCTAGAACCCGAATCCCTAAAAGACACAGATGGGCCACACTGCGCTGGTAAGGCGTGTGAAAATACGAGGTGCCAGATTCAAGCCAAATGGAAGGCAACGAAAGAGGTAACCCTGATGCCCCACAACAAAGCCGAGCCAGTCCCTGAGCCCCGGATGAATCTGAAAGGGCCAATAAGCATCCCAGATGTCCAGGGACACCATCCAAGCACCTGGCTCCAAGTGAAGACAGACCTGAGACAGTAGTCATTCGAAAGGAGGAGCAATAAACCCACGGGGTTTGGATGGGACAAGTACAGAATGAACTGAAGGTCCGCGCAGTCCCATTTCGGAACTGGAAACAGGCAGGGAAGCCCACTGGAGGGACGAGGTCATTTTGACCACGCCCAAGCAAACCCACTCCGAATTCAGCGGGTTTGTCACCGCAGGCTGCACGAAATGACCTGAATGGTCCACATATCGTGGGACCAAGCGTGAGCAAACAAAGCGAGCCTCCGCCCCTCCACACCCATCGCCCTGTCAATGAGACGAATCGCAAAAGGGCCAACGCCCCTTTCGAGAAAATGACCTCCGCACAGAGCGATCACCGCGCCAGCCAAATGAAGACGGGTTTGAAGGCTGCGCCGGCTCCGAAACTTTCACCACTGGCCAACCATGATGGGAGGAGCCTTGAGCCCTGGCAAAACCCTTCCGGGAATACCCCCCCCCCCACCCCCGGGAGAACCAACATGTCTGACATGGGACAACAACTGGAAGAAGTCGCCTGCAAACACTGCACCACCGCAGAATCTGCAAACAGCAAGAGACAAAAAGGAGAAGACAACCTAAGAGCCAGGGCTCAAACGGATTCCACAAAGCAAGCACCACCTGCCAACGTGCAAGATGGGAAGCAAAAAACTGCGAAACCACATCCCACAGGATCGGCGCAAACAGCTTCAAAAGAGCAGACGACACACGTACAGCCGAGACCAACGCACCCGACTCAAGACCAGCCCCAAGCACCAACACTTCCTCCTAAAGCCAGTCCGAGAACATCTAGAGAAGATAACTTCTCTAAGATAACTAACTAAATTATCTAACTAACTTGCGCACCCCCCCGGGACCAACAGGTCCCAGGGGGTTCGCAAGTCCTCAGCAAACAGCACAACCGAGAGGGAGGGAACATTCACACGAAGCTGCACTACACCGACATCCTGAGGAAAGGCAGGGGCAAACAAGCATACATTGAGGTGCTCAAAGTCGCCCCACGCCCAGGAAAACCTGGACCACCGTATGAGCCTTGCGCCACTCAAGCGCATGGGACCAGCAGAGCAAATACAACGTCTCCAACGAGAAGAAAGGGCAGTCAGCAAGCCAGGACGACTCTGGAACCTCATAACAAACCCAGTAAGAACAAGAAGAATTAAACGCAAAAGAAGGATCCATTATGGAGGCATAAATCGGGTCGTGCAGGAGGTTAGCCACGATGACCTCCCGCACCACATGATGCAGGATGCAAGAGGCCGAAAACCTCCGGAAAGACAAGCCTGAAGAACCCAAGGGAGCATGGAACCAAACCCGGGAAGGGGTAGACACCAAATCCAACTCATACGAGGAGGAACAAAAAACCTCCTTGCAACAACAAGCCCTGCTTGGAGGGTACAAAAAACCCAAGCGGGGTCCAACGGGCCTCAAGGCCCTTCAAAGTCAACCCTGCCCCAGGAACCTTTCCTTAAGGACCCGGGGCCGAGCCCAGGCAGGGTACTGCTAACTGGCGCCCAAGATTACCAAACAAACTTCTGAAGTTGAACCCCCGGGACGTGTACACTCACAGGGGCCCATAGTGGAGGACCACCGAGATATAAGTGAGGGGTGACCAAAACCAAGGGGCAGACCCCACACCAGGCAGGAAAACAAAAACAAAATAAAAACCCCGCAAGAGGATAACGTGCCCAGGTGAGACAGAGCTGGCCACTATGAAAGGTGACAACTAGCTACACGGTATCTTGCGCCGCAACCAGTGATGAAACTACCCTCTACCCAGAGGAAAACAGTGGTGCATGAAACACCACAGCTGACTCCAAGGGTGGTCAATCACCGAGCAGCAAAAGACCTTGTGGAGGTAGACCCCAAGGTGACTTGTGGAAGTTGTCCCCAAGCCCCAAGGGCAGTACATACAGGGTACCTAGGGAAGAGAACCCTAGACGCATGCAGCCTGAGTACTTGTGAAATTACTCCTGGCTTGCACACTATTTAGTAGACAAGACCACACCACAAGGCACAGGACTGGAAAACACCAGAGCCAGAGGCACACGACTTTGCCAGTTCACATCAGCCACAAAACTGCGAGGTGGATAGCCGCAGTGGTGGTCTGGGGCTCCCCCTTCTCCCTCCCGGGGGATGGGGCATTGCGCAGACAGCTGCATGGTGACATGCTTGTTTTCATTTGGGGAGTTTTGTCGACTAGTTCAACTTTCAGTAGCAATATTTTCACCAGAATAGGGGTTTTGTTTGGGGTGTTTACCTTTCTGGGTGCCTGACCCAGTCGATGGCAGACATAGAATGCTTCCAACCACATAGGGGTTTCTATAGGTCATTGCTCCTCGGGCCCCTCTGAGTGGGCCAGCTTCGGGCTCGTGATCCCCGGTAGGCCCACAGAACTCCATACACATGACTGATGCCAAAGTCTGACATTAGCATATCAGCCTAGTAAGCTCCAGGGAGCCTCCGGGTCTCACCCAGAAAATGGTGTTTCATTACATTCAACGCCGTTTTTTTTCCTTGATGGTTCTTTTGAGTGAGATGACACAAGGTCAGCCATCCCTTGGCATTTTATTTTTTGTATTCATGTCTAGTCTTCATCCACAGCTAACCACTTAACTTCTTTATTTCAAGGAGGTTGCTATGTGGCAGTAGCATGGGACTGCATTGCCTCCTGCAATCACCCGTGGAGTTGCCTGTCATCCAACACTTCCTCATCAGGCATCAGACTTACATCCTTGCCCAAGGACCACAGCCTCAATGTCTACCACACAGCCGAGGAGGCCTCCCACTTCCACATCTTCGGTAGCGGGTCTTATGAGGGAGTGCCACTGTGGGGACGCAAGGCAGCAGACGAGGGCACCGCTGGGATCAGAGGTCGTCTGTATCAGCTAGAAGGTGTCAATGTCTCATGGGACCTACTCATGGCTAATGTCAGGTATGATGATTACTTTTGTTTATGTATGAAGATGCTATACAGTACTTCAATTTTTGTGTGAAGGTACTTGTAGTTGCTTTTGCTATGCATAGTTTGTGGCGCAGTGGTCTATGTCTTTGATTCACAATCGAGGAACCCATATTCAAATCCTGGTCAGGAAAGAAATGGTAAAATGCATTTCCTTTCACTTACTGCCACTTAGTTCACCTGGTAATAAATAGGTACCTGGGAGTTAGCCAATCATTGTTTGTTACATCTTAAGGAAGGTCAGTAGTTTGACATAGGAAGGGCTTCGATATAGGCATCCTGTACCCGACAATGGAAATTACTGTATAATTATTATTGTATTTGTTTTTTGTATAAAATGGCTTTTTTTAATTTTCACTCATTGTGCACACAAATTTCCTCAACAGTATGGAGTGTAAGGGAGGCCAGTGGGAGGGAAGCAAATGTGCCGGTGTGTGGACATACTGGGAGTTCTGGATCTTCGCTCTTTTGCTGTTTGTGGGACAAATTGCCTTCAACACAGCCATCTCCATCACCGATGCCATCATTGTTGACACTATTGGTGTGTATGTGCATGTATTATCTGAATTTACATGGGTGGCTTTGATGTGGACAGGAAGCCAACGGCTTTTATGCTTTTATCTGTGTAATTACCCAAGTGTAGTAATAGGACGAGACCTACACCTAGGTGTCCCATCTTCCCAGTACTGAAACTAATGCTTTGAAACTACTGACAGTTTTGGCATCCACTGCCTTCTAACTTTGTTTCAACTCTGCAAAGGAGAACTTTCTACTATTTTTTCAGCACCTTTGTTTCCTTAGTTTCAATCTATGACCTTGTTCTTGAAGATGCAGGTTTCAATAATGCCTCTGTCAATTTTGTAAAGTTGTTACTATTTTGTATGTAGTGATCATATTGCCTCTTGCTTCTTCCTTTTAGGTTTGGCATATTTAACACCTCTAGCCTCTCCTCCTCGTTGCTCTTGATTTTTCAGTTCCGAAAGTTATTTAGTGCATGTCTGTGCACCTTTTCCAGTATATTTATATGCTTCTTGAGATATGGGCATCGTACAATGGCTGCATTATTTAAATTTTGGTCTGAAGTCATGAACAATTTCATAGTTACACTAAGTTACAGTATCCCATGTAAAAGGAAGTCTGAAGTTGTAAAGTGCAACATATGCTCCTCCCACAATGTCCATAATGTGGTCCTCTGGTGACTTATCTACTATCCAAAATCACCCCTAGATCTCTCTCTTTGTCAGTTATTAAATACCTTTCTACATAATTTGTAGGTTGTGTGGCCTATTTCTATACCACATTCCATAGCATGACATTTATTCACATTGAACTCTATTTGCCAAGTGTTGCTCCATACACTTGTTTAAGTCTCTATCTTCTCTAGTAGCGCATCATCATCAGCAAACATGTTCATGTAGTACTGTATTATTTCTGGTCGATTGTTTATATAAAGGATGAACATTTCTGGTCCAAGAACTGAATCCTGTAGTACTCCACTAGTTACACTTCTCTAGTCTGATACATTGCCTCATCTGTTTTGTAAGAAATTTTTTCATCCAAGTCAGCAGTTTGCCTGTCACCTCTCCAGCATGTTCCAGTACCAGAACAACCTCTTGTGTAGGACTGTTAAGTCTTATTTTAGGTCCAGATAAACACAGTCAACCAAACCTTTTCTTTCCTGCAAGATCTCTGTGGCTACAGGTATCATAAGAAACTACTTTCTCTAGTGTTTGACTACCATGATTGTCAGCAATATGGTCTATAATTTAGAGGGTCTTCTCTGCTACCACTTTTGTAGATTGGAACCATGTTTGCCCTTTTCCATGTACTGTATCAGCTAAGATTCCTGTACACAATGATGTCTAAAAAGTAAATTTTCAGTGGAAATGAAATGGAATGGAATGTGAAGTGGAATGCTCAGTTCGGGTACGCCTTCTCTTGGGTGAAACTACATCTGGGTCAACTGCTTTGTTTCTTTCTAGCTACTTGAGTACTGTGATTTTGAGTACTTCATCTCTAGACCTCTGTAAGTGCTCTATGGTGTCTTCTCAAATTGGCAGTGTTTGGTTGTCTCAAAAATCTCATTTTGCACAAACACTTTTTAAGTGTTTATTTAGTGTTTAATACATTTTCTTCTTTTCATTCTCTGTGAATCTATTCCATATTTTCAATCTCCAGAGTTTTTCCTTTACATGCAGCTTGCCTTTAAGAAATTTGTAGCAGCCACATTAGAGATAATGTGGCAGTCGTTTAAATTACCTCCACGTTATTCCACATTCCAAGAAATTCTACTCCAAGCATTAAAAGTTCCCAATAATCCCCATAATTGCTAATACACCTGCAATCATATTCCCTAACCATTAATGACATCTGTTACAAATCCCCAAGATTTCCACTAATCACTTGGGACAGCCAAAAATAACACGAAGCTTCCCATCAGACTAAATGATCGGTCTACCAAATAAGGAAGCAAACAGGGTCCAACACATGGTTAGGTGAATGCAGATACAACACAGTTGAAGACACAGCATTCTCAGCCTAATTCCAACTCACACCAGACTCTACAAGCCTCACTACAGAGCAGTAAGCCAATCTTGCCCCCCCCCCCTCAAGCTCCCCACTCTCGCCTTCCTCCGAGTGCTCCACCCCCAGGCCTCACTCAATATCTCTGCTCTCAGGTCCAGGCCTTGCACAAGCTCTCTGCAGTCAGCCATCTTCAGCCCCATGTTCTATCTGACTCCACCAGCAGCACATAACAAACATGTTAGTCTCATCCTATCTTGACAATCATATCATTTCTAACATCCAACTGCTGTAACCAAACTATATTAATTAAATAAACATAAAAACCATCACACTCTTTGAATATTGACACCCAAAATTGTACATTACAAATTTATAGAAAAGGCCTAGTGCTATTTTACATGTTTTCTCTACCTTTTTCTTAAAGTGTCTTTCTGCCTCTCCTCACTGCCCCATAGTAGTTCTTTGCTTGTTTGAATTGCTGATATACTTGAGGGCTGGGTCTTTTCCTATATCATTTAAGTGTTTTTTTCTTTTGTTCTCTGGCCCTCTCGCAATTTCCATTGAATAAATCCTGCTTTCTAGTGTGCACATGTTAATTCTTGTACCTACAAATTAACCAAAGAATTTATGTACCCTAATAAATTCCTATTTTATTCCTGTACCCTAAAAATAATGTACCCTAATAAATTCCTAATTTATTCCTGTACCTAACGATAAATTGTACCTAATTCATGTTACATAGTGTAGGTACAGGATGAGAGCTATGCTTGTGGTGTCCTGTCTTCCCAGCACACTGTCAAGTAACTCTTTAAAACTATTGACAGTTTTGGCCTCCACCACCTTCTCACGTGTTTCCAACCCTCTACCACAGTTTGCAAAAGAAAACATTCTAACATTTTTTGGGGGGCACTTTTGTTTCCTTAGCTTGAATCTATGATTTCTTGTTCTTGAAGTTGCAGGAACTCCTCATTGTCAATTTGGTCGATTCCTGTTATTATTTTGTAAGGGGTGATCATATCACCTCTTTTTCTTCTGTTTTCTAGCTTTGGTATATTTAATGCCTCTAGCTTCTCTTCATAACTTTTTTTTTTTTTTTTAGTTCAGGAAGACATTTTGTACTATGCCTTTGCACCTTTTCAAGTTTATTAATGTGCCTCTTGAGATATGGGCACTGCAAATTCACAACTGCTGCACATTCACTTTGGTCTCTCAAAACAGTTTTGTATGACAAAAACAGTAACGGTTTCTTTAGTATTTCTCCACCTACGTAATTGAGAGAGATTCTGAAAAAAGACACTTTATGAAAAGCACAACATGTGTTCCTCACACAATGTCCTTTATGTGGTCCTCTAATAACAGTCTACTGTTCAGAACCAACACTAAATCTCTTTCTTTGTTCGAGTTCTTTTATTCCTTTCCATATAATTTGTAGGTTGTATGTAGTTTATTTTCTCCTATTCCACATTCCATGACATGGCATTTATTCATATTGAATTCCATTTGTCAAATGGTGCTTCAAGCACTTAATTTATCTAGGTCAAATTGAAGGGCATGACAATTGTCTAGGCCTCCTGTCTGTCTTAGTAGTAGTAGGCATCCATCAGTCTCAGGAGACTATGGAGTTGTGTTCTGGTTGTCGGTCTGGAGTGGCCTCTCCAGGGCGCAAAGCCAGGGTAGGTTGATACGGAGGAGAGGCTGTTACCCAAGCAACAGGTCCCCCCTCTCCACAGCACCGAAAGTCTCCAATGGAAAGGCAAATTCCAATATAACTGGTTCCAGGGCTGATGCAGGAACTGTGAGCTCCAGAGTTGACTTCAAAATTGGTGAAAGAAGTCACAGGGACTCCAAACCCGGAGACCTCCATGGTCAGGGCCAGAGAAGAACCACTCCATCAAGAGCAAGAATGACCCCAGCTTCCTGAAGCAGAGCCTGGGCTGCACGAGCCCCCAGGAGGTGGACGTCCCAGTCTCGCACTTATGGATTCCAGACAGAGATCGTCATAGCCCTCTTTCACCCGAGGCCAGCTTTCTTCAAGACCAAGCAGAAGGAAGTGATAATTATTAAATACAATAATTATTATTATAATTATTTTTATTATAATAATTATTATAATAATAATATATTTAATTAATAATTATCACTCTTCCTTCTGCTTGTCTTGAAGGAAGCCGGCCTCGGGTGAAAGAGGGCTATGACGATCTCTGTCTGGAACCCATAGGTTCCAGATAGGTTCCATAGTAGACTGGGATGTCCACCTATTAGCTTAGCATCAGCAGCAATCCTGGGGAGTCAGTAGTTTGATCAAGATCAAATCTGTATTCCCTGGAGTTCCCTCCCCAATTTTTAAATTCATTCCCTGCAGCGCAGGCAGCTTGTACTTAATTATCTACACTTGGAAAATATTAGGACTGATTCAAATGTGCAACACAAAAACAAGACCACATGAGACCAGAATGCATGGCAGGATGGGAAAATAGCCCCACTGAAGAGCAGAGGTGCAATAGGCTTGACGAGAGAGAACTTGATCAACATCACACGCCGTAGACTTTTCAACACACTTCTCCTACACACTCGGGCATAACTGGCCGACCTCTCACATTGTTCAAAAGAACTCGACATGCACCTTCAAAGGATACCTAATCAACCAGGATGTGACTCATATGCCAGTTTATGAACAGCTGCATCAAAAAGAGCCTGGTGGATCAGGCCAGCAACCAAGAGGCCTGGTCAGAGACCAGGCCATGGGAACATTAACCCCCAGAATCTTCAACAAGTAGTCCACAGGTAGAACCTCTTAAATTTAAAATATATATATGCACGGGCTTCCTGTCCAACAAAAATTATGTCAGTCTTTATATGTGTGTGTATATATATGTTAATACAAGTGTTTATGAATATTGTTTATAAACTTATAAAGCCTGTGATGGGTTAAACATCAAAGTGCCAAGTAGCCTCCATTTTTTTTTTTTTTTTTAGTACTGTATGTAAGTATATAGGTTATGTATGCATGCATATTTGTGGATCCCTGTAGTGGTACAGTCAGGTTCATTCTTAACTCACAATTGGGAATTCCAGGTTTGGATCCTGGGTGGGACAGTAATGGTTGTTTTTTTCCTATCACCTAATGTTCCTGTTCACCTAACATTAAAAATGTACCCTGGAGTTAGTCAGCTTGTTGTGGGGTTGCATCCTGGGAAAGGTTAGTAGTTTGACTTTGAGGGGAACCTCAATATAAGCCTATGTATATATACACTGGGGTGCCTGTCTCCTAACAATGAATTATTATATGGATTGCTTCCTGCAGCTGTTTTTTAATTTCTATCATATGCCTCAAATTTCATTCCCTGAAGAATGTTACAGAATATGTGCATCTTTCTTGTCTTCTCTTTTCTAATAATTACTCTACAGATGATGTAACTGGTATGGCCTGTCTCTTGCATATGAGGTTGCTATTATTAATATCAGCATCAAAGATTTAAAAGATGAACTTAGTCTACTTGGAACCATAATTTTTTTAACCCTTACACAACTCCAATTGCCATATGCAATTCTTTTCCCATTTGATTTGTTAACTTTTTAGTTGTGTGCATTTTCTCTGTTTTGGCTACTGTACCAGGATGGGATAGATACCTTGTGAAGCACAAAAGGAAATTTGAAAAATCATTGCTTTACTGCTAGGGTACTGTAGTACAGTACCTGAATTAAAAAATACTAAGGCTAGGGTCAAGTGTAGAGTGGTGTTTACTTGACCTAACACCACTGTAGAAGAGCATTTACCGTACTTGAATTTACTCAAGGGTCACCATCTCTAGTGGTCTTGATGAGGGACAAGAAATTGACGGCTTGTTAAAAGCATGCATAATGTTGTTGTGCACGTCAAGTATAGAAAGCTGCAAGAGTAACTGCTAACAGATGGGCAGAGGAAGATTGGAAATTGTCACATTTATCTTGTAAACAAAAATTTAAACTATGTACACATTCTAGTTTACCCAGTTCTCTAAAACCTAGAGCTGCTGATACCATACCATATACAAATCCCCAAAAAAGACTAGCATGCCAAATTCAGATGCTTTATTGAGACATTTATTTATAACTGAGTTTACTCTGGTTTACAGCTATTACCCAAGTTAATTTATATTTGAATGTATTAAGTTTATTGTATATTTTTTAGTCATTTTCCCATTTAGACATTAACCTAATGTTCCCTAACTCCCCCAGGAAAGACTGGGGATTACGGTATCCAGCGGGCATGGGGCACTGTGGGCTGGGGGCTGATGGGACCTCTTAGTGGGCTGCTTATAGATTGGTGGTCTGGCTCCTCCACCACCAAGAACTATACACCAGCCTTCCTTCTCTGCTTATTTTTGGGATCCTCTGACATAATCATATCTTCCGCAACTATTAAGGTAAGGATTCAAGTTCTCAGTTTTGTATATCTTCATAATTTAAGGATTATTTTACCTGCCGTTTCCACCCATGCCTTGTACCGAGTGGCTGTAGAGTACATCTTTCACATCACTGAGTGATGGCATGTGCTATCTTTTCTGAAAGAAAATTCTATAGTTTGTAAAATTCTTAGTTCTTTCCATAACTTATGCACTGATGTAGCTATGCTTTAACCCTTATACTGCTCTAGTCGCTATCTGTGATTTCCTGTGCTTAAGTCACATGAGCACCTGAATGTAGGTGCTTCTAAATAGCTTAGCAGTTTATGGGTCAAGAAGTGTACTAGGCCTCCAAAACTCATGCTGTTAGTTGTCAGGAATTTATAGTCTCAAGAATCATTGTCAAGGTCATTTTCTCTATTCCACATACTTCCTTTCAAGGCCTGGATATACTGTACACTCTAGGGCAGGGGTTCTCAATTAGAAGGGGATGAGGATTGGGACCAAGTAAATGCTTACATATTGACATAGAAAATATAAAGATGCTTAATAATTAATAGTTTCATATTATTATTATATGAGCTGTCTGTGTGTGTGTGTTTACCCACACTAACCAGAGGGTGGCCCATTTAGCCGTTTTGGTCTAGGGCCCAAAAACAGTTTGATCTGGCCCCTGCAGCCAGCAACCCATTTTCTCTTACTGGGTGCAGTTGAGGGTGCACTTCTCTGCCGGTGTTCCTGAGGGTTGCTAGTCTTTCAAGTAAGTGGCGTTGCATTACCAGGGACTGTAGTTCCACAGTCGAGTTCAGCTGTGGTTTGTTCCATTTCTGTTTCACAATAGTATTCAGTTCCACACAGTTTTCCTTGTATACTATTTCACTGAACTATGTGCCAGAGTTACTTGCATTTTCCCGTTTCCAAATAGGGAAGAGAAAGGGTAGAGGAATGGGAGGAGGAGGAGGAGGAGGAGGAGGATAATAAAGAAGGGGAAGAGGGAAAAGAAGGAAAGGAGGGAGAGAAGAGAGGGAGAGGGGAGGAAGAAGGGAGATGTGACTAGCCTCTCTCTCTTGCAACCCGTTCTCGCAAATTTAATAAGTCAATATTGACTTATTAAATATGTGCATAGGTGACATACTTAACATAATAGATACCCTTAAAAAGATTCATAGAAAACACCGACCTTACCTAACCTTGTTAGTATCTTAAGATAAGCATCTTATTGCTTCGTAATTACAATTATTACCTAACCTATAATAGGTATAGGTTAAGTAATAATTGTAATTACGAAGCAATAAGATGCTTATCTTAAGATACTAACAAGGTTAGGTAAGGTCGGTGTTTTCTATGAATCTTTTTAAGGGTATCTATTATGTTAAGTATGTCACCTATGCACGTAGTTAATAAGTCAATATTGACTTTATGAATTTGCGAGAACGGGTTGCTCTCTTGTCACACCATTACAATGATGTTAGGGATAGATGTGGGATTTGCTAACATATTTACCTTGTGTTTGGCATGCCTGACTGCCTAACAATCCAAGCATCTAAACACCTTTCATGTATTAGGTAGTCTCAATGGACTGGGAAAGGCTGCTTTCCTTGGCTCCAGGGAAGATTGGAGGGATGTCCATCCCTCCTCTTGTAGCAGGGGGGTGGGTGGGGGTGGATTTCAGGATGTTGACCAAACCACACACTAGAAAGTGAAGGGACGATGACGTTTCTGTCCATCCTGGACCATTCTCAAGTTGTGATTTCAGGATATTTGGGTTCATTTGACAGGAAAAATAAAAAAAAATCAGATCCCATTTCTCCCCCCCACAGCCTTATTATAGTTAGGCCAGAGGGATTCATCTCTTAAGGCTTGTTTTGTCTTCCATTCCATATCCATTTTCGGTATCTGCTTTCCGTGTGCATGTTTCCGAATACCAGATTTGTGGCTTGGTTCTACCCCCTTCACAGTTTCCATCGTCACATCTTCCAAGTCTCAGCTGGCAGAGCTTGCCTTGGATATTGCTGCAAATGGTGTTCATGTGTTTGTCCAAGACCTGAAGTCTTTCTTAGGCTTGACTTGAGGGCCCCTTTTGATTTGTGGTTTGACTTTATTAAGTCCATGTTTTTATTTTACGTTGGGTCTTGGTTTTTCCCAACATTTGTTTCACAGGAAATGACACTGGCTTCTTGAGTTTAATGTGCCTGGTGCTTCTCCTTTTGCCTATTTTCTATTGCAGAGTAATTTTTTTGTCCTTAGTTTTGGGTACAACCTTTTAGGGGTGGTTGATCTCTAGATTTCTTGTGATAGCTTTGGCTTTATGGTCTACATCCTTGCCTTTGAGATCAGGTATTCCTCTTATCTGGAATGCCTTCTCTGCTGGTGGTGGTTTTGCCGGGTCTTAGCCCTTTGGCAAGTGGTGCTCCATATACTTATTTTGTCCAGGTCTTCTTGAAGGGCATAACAATCATCTAAGTTTCCTATCCTTCCTATTATCTTAGCATCATAAGCAAACATGTTCATATAATTCTGTATTCCATCTGGTAGATAGAATACATTTATGTAGACAGTGATCATCATCAGTGCAAGAACTGAACCCTGTGGTTCTCCACTTTAGACATTTCTCCAGTCTGACACATTGCCTCTGATTATTGCCCTCATTTTTCTATAACTCAGAAAATTTTTCATCCATGTTAGATACTTACCTGTCACCCCTCCAATATTTTCCAGTTTTCAGAACAACCTCTTATGTGGAACTCTGTCGAAAGCCTTTTTTAGGTCCAGATAGATGCAGTCAACCCAACCATCTCTTTCCTGTAAAATCTCTGTGGCTCGATCATAGAAACTGAGTAAATTTGTTACACAGTATCTTCCAGATCGAAAACCATACTGTCTGATATTATATCGTTTTTCTCCAAGTGTTCTACCCATTTAGCTTTAATTATTTTTTCCAATATTTTGACTATTACACTTGTCAATGATATAGGTCTATAATCGAGAGGGTCTTCCCTGCTGCCACTTTTGTACTTGAAACTATGTTAGCCTTTTTCCACATGTCTGCTACGACTCCTGTACACAGGGATGCCTGAAAGATCAGGTGAAGTGGAATGATGAGCTCAGATGCACATTCTCTCAGAACCCATGGTGAAACTCCATCTGGGCCAACTGCTTTGTTCTTACTTAGCTCCAAGAGCATTTGTTTCACTTCATCTCTGGACACCTCTATGTGCTCTATGCTGTTCTCTAGAATTCTTATTGTGTCTGGTTCTCTGAAGATCTCATTTTGTACACACACACTTTGGACCTTTTCGTTTAACGTTTCACACATTTCCTTTTTATTTTTCGTGTATCTGTCCCCCATTTTCAACCTCTGAATATTATCCTTTAGCTGCAGCTTGCTTTTAATGAATTTATAGAAAAGGCCTGGATCTGATTTACATTTGTCTGCTATACCGTTCTCAAAGTTCCTCTCTGCCTCTCTTCTTACTGACGTTTAGTTGTTTCTTGCATCTTTGTATCGCTAGTATGTTTGGGGGTTTGTACTTTTTCTATAATGATTCCATGCTTGTGTCTTTTGATCTCTGGCCCTCTCGCAATTTCTGTTAAACCAATCCTGTTTCCTAGGTCTGCATGTCTGTTTTGGTATGAATGTTTGTGTGCCTTCATCGTATATTTTGTAAAATTTGGCATATATCTCATTTACTGCCTTGTCTAGCAATAAGTCTGTCCAATTATACTGTACCCATGAAAAAATGTCTAAGTTAGTGTGTGTGTGTGCACGCGTGTGCGTGCACGCCATCCCTCCAAAGGTTTCCTGCGCTGTTTTAAGCAGTTACCAGGCTGTGTTTTGTTGTGGAAAATTTCACCTTGGAGCCAATCCCTTTGCTTTGGCCCAATGTTTTCCATGACTAGTACCTTTGCAAATTAGTGCTTGGGCTTAAATTGTTTTCCCCTTGCATCTCGGGTTTCCTTGAACACACGGGTTTCATGTCATTTTGCCATTTCCTGGGTTGCAAATTTGAATCCTGTCAAGGCTTTTTGTGCTCTATGTCTTGTACTTCTCTGTTGTCTGTCTGCCCCCCCCCCTCACCCCTTGAATCCCTATTCATAGGTTGCACCTGTGCTGGTTTAGTACTTATAAATATATTACCCAGTTAAGATATACTGTACTGTAATAGTAGCTGTATTTCTGGGGCAGATACTGTATAATAATGACTTACTATGGTAGATGCCTCCTTAATTATCCTGACAGCTGCCATATTGACACCTGCGTTAATTCTTCCAGCTGCCATTTTCATGCCTGCATTGGGCTTCAAGCTGCCATTTTGACACCTGCATTATGCTTCCAGCTGCCATTTTGACACCTGCTTCACTCTGCCATGTTGCCATTTTGACACCTGCTTCACTATGCTATGCTGCCATTTTGACACCTGCTTCATTCTGCCATGTTGCCATTTTGACACCTGCTTCACTCTGCTATGCTGCCATTTTGACACCTGTATGATGCTTCCAGCTGCCATTTTGATACCTGCATGATGCTTCCAGCTGCCATTTTTGACACCAGTATTATGCTTCCAGCTGCCATTTTGACACCTGCTTCACTATGCCAAGCCATTTTGATGTCTGTGTTGTCCCGCCAGCTAAAATTTTGACACTTGCATTACTCCACCAGCTGCCATTTTAATGCCTGCACTACTTTAGCAGGTGTTTTAATAATCGAGTACCTGTTTCTCAAGCAGGTACCATAATAATGTGTGTTTTCATGACAGGTGCCAGAGATGAAGACAGAGCACGATGTATTGAAGAAGGTGTGGCCAATACTACGCCAACCCAGATTCTTCATCTTTTGCTGCTTTGTCCTCCTCAACGGTGCCTTCGATGGCATTGTTGCCAGCTATATCTTTATGTAAGATTACTGGTTCTTGTTAGTATTATGTACTCATATTAGGTTTTTGCCACTAGTTAATGGAGCTGTCTTTGTGTAAGTGTATTTGCCAGCTGCCACTTTATAGTAGTAGGCATCCATCAGTCTCGGGAGACTATGGAGTCGCGCTCTGGTTATCAGTCTGGAGTGGCCTCTCAAGAGCACAAAGCCAGGATAGGTTGATATGGGGGAGAAGCTGTCACCCATACAGCAGGTGCCCCCTCTCCATGGTGCCGAAAGTCTCCAATGGAAAGGCAAACACCAATACGATTGGTTCCAGCGCCATCGCAGGAACTGTCGTAACAAAGTTGAAGGTAACATCGAACTGCCCTAGGGGCTCCAGCTCCGGAGGTTACCTTGAAGTTGGTAAAAGGCACAGGGACTCCAAACCTGAAGACCGCATGGTCGGGGCCAGAGAAGAACCACCCCCAGCAAGGGCAAGAACGACCCCTGACTGGTTCCAGACAGATTGTCACGGCCCTCTTTCACCCGAGGCCGGCTTCCTTCAAGACCAAGCAGAAGGTAGAGTAATAATTATTAAGTACAACATTATTATAATTATTATTATAATTATTATTATATTAATAATTAATAATTATTACTCTTCCTTCTTCTTGGTCTTGAACTTTATATATGCAAGATTATTGACACTTGTTGAATTATTTTCACAATAGGATAGTTTTCTATCATTTTAGTGTTTGAAAGTATTTTGTTGCCAACGTCTTTTGTGAACTAGGTCAAGACTACATTTGTCAAACTCTGAGTGTACTGTTACATTTTGTATATTAACTGTTGGAGTACAGTATTTGATAATTTATTCCTGGCTGTGCCCTCCAAACGTTGGGTAACTGCCTGGTTCATCATATTTCATTAATATGTACAGTACTCTATATAGTATATATTAAAAATTATTGCAGAGCTTTCATTTTGGCATAACACTAAATGGAACGACCAAACATTATTGACCCATGCCTTGTGAAAGGTCCTCAAATGTCCCCCCACAACACTGTCACTATCTTATCGTGAAAGGGCTGACAGGAGAAATCCAGCTGACCCTGATATTTAAGGATGAGAGTAAAATGACAGTTCAACCTACAATGGATGCCAAAGGCTCTCCAGTGTAAACTTCTGCCTCAGCCAGGAGCCCTCAGCCATTCTTTGGTGGATCTCTCCACCTCAGCATGGATCAGTTACATATTTATGTAGCTCCCATTCATGATCACAAAGCGTCCCGGGAAGACGGGACACCACGAGCGTAGCTCTCATCCTGTAACTACACTTAGGTAATTACACACACACACACACACACACACACACACACACACACACACACACACACACACACACACACACACACACACACACACACACACACACATGGAGCACCACCTGGCAAATGGAATTTAATGTTAATAAATGTCATGTTATGGAATGTGGAATAGGAGAACATAGACCCCATACAACCTATATATTATGTGAGAAATCTTTAAAGAATTCTGATAAAGAAAGAGATCTAAGGGTGGTTCTAGATAGAAAACTATCACCTGAGGACCACATAAAGAATATTGTGCAAGGAGCCTATGCGATGCTTTCTAACTTCAGAATTGCATTTAAATACATGGATGGCGATATACTAAAGAAATTGTTCATGACTTTTGTTAGGCCAAAGCTAGAATATGCAGTTGTTGTGTGGTGCCCATATCTTAAGAAGCACATCAACAAACTGGAAAAGGTGCAAAGACATGCTACGAAGTGGCTCCCAGAACTGAAGGGCAAGAGCTACGAGGAGAGGTTGGAAGCATTAAACATGCCAAAACTAGAAGACAGAAGAAAAAGAGGTGATATGATCACTACATACAAAATAGTAACAGGAATTGATAAAATCGACAGGGAAGATTTCCTGAGACCTGGCACTTCAAGAACAAGAGGTCATAGATTTAAACTAGCTAAACACAGATGCCGAAGAAATATAAGAAAATTCACCTTCGCAAATAGAGTGGTAGACGGTTGGAACAAGTTAAGTGAGAAGGTGGTGGAGGCCAAGACCGTCAGTAGTTTCAAAGCGTTATATGACAAAGAGTGCTGGGAAGACGGGACACCACGAGCGTAGCTCTCATCCTGTAACTACACTTAGGTAATTACACACACAGAGGTGAAGGTGAAGCTGGAGGAGGCAGAAGTCACACTGCAGCAAGCTCCTGGAAATATCGAATTACCTAAGTATTGGGCACAGGTTGAGGGCTACAGTGGTGTCCCAGGTTACATAAAGGTTCAGGGAAGAGTAAAAGCAAATAAAATACAATAAACAAGTAAAAGTGAGTGAAAATAGCCGAGTGGAAAAGTTTGTTTTGGTCTAGAACAAAATCAAAGATGGCCGCCGCCACCACCCCCACTGAGAAGGTAGACACACCATCAAATGATGGTTTCAAAGGATTCTCACCACAAGATATAAGGAAAGGAGGTGTTCTTGGCAGGTTAGAGATAATTGAGGATATGCAAAAGAAGTATGAAGAAAAAGTGCTTAAATTGGAAGAGGACAATGGAGCTCTTTGGAGTGAGCTTTGCACTCTAAAAGGGAGTATGCTTCAACAAGGTAAGATTATTACTGCATTAACAGACACGGTAACAAATCAGGAGGAGCAAATCAAGGAACTAGTGAAAGAAAATGAGGCATGGAAAGTGAAGTGTGGTGACTTTGAAGAAATAAACAAGAAAATAGACTCATATGGTGAACAACTCCAAGCAAGCCTAAGGGCTAACATAGTTAGGTAAGGATCTCCAACTGGAAACTTCACTGACAACTCATATAGAGGAGGTGAATGAAGAACTAGAAAAGTATAAAGAAGAAATAAAAGCGACATATGCTGAAGTTGTAAAAGAGAAAGAGACTATCAAAGAAGTGTGTTCGGAAGTCAAAACCAGAAATGACCAACAAGAAGCAGAAATTAGGCAAGCAATTAGGAAAGAACTGGTTACCAACAGTAAACTGGTACAAAACACTGCAGATAGAACTAAGTCCATAATCATTTTTGGATGTTTAGAGAAGGAAATTTCATCTAGGGTGGACCGAGCAGCAGAAGAGATGAAAATCATAGAGAAAATAGTAGGTTTAGGAGAAGGCTCAAAGGAAAATGTCAGTGATTTTAGAAGAATAGGAAAATATGAGAAAGAAAAGAACCGCCCCTTAAGGGTGACGTTTAATGGAGTGAAAAACATGATGGAAGTGCTAAGAAATGCCAGGAAACTGCAGAGTGATGAGGTTGGCAAATCTTGGTCAATAAGACAAGACCTCTCCAAGGAAGACAGAGAAAAGCTGAAAATGAACCTAATTGAGGCAAAATGTCTAAATGGGGATAGAAATGAAGAAGACAGAAATTCTTTTTTTTTACAAAGTGACAGGGACTGGAAAGCTTGTGAAATGGTACATAAAAACAAAGCAACAAGATCAGTAGTGGAAGGGGAAGTAAAGAGCAAAGGAAAAGGGAACATGTTCCTGAAAATTGTATATACCAACATAGATGGAGTGAGGTCAAAAACTTTGGAGTTGCAAGATATAATCCAGCTTAGGGTCCCAGATATTGTTGCATTATCAGAAACGAAACTTGAAGGAAATATAATAAATGAAGTCATATTCCCAAGAGGCTACTCAGTTTGGAGACGTGACAGGAAAACTAGGAAGGGAGGAGGAGTGGCTGTACTGGTGAAAAAACACCTGAAGGTAAAAGAGTTAATATTTGAAAACCCTCGAGATATTGACATAATGGCATTGCAGGTCTGGAATCAGGATGATAAGCTGATAATTGTAAATACCTACAGCCCACCAGCAAGCAACACATGGACAAAGGAAGAACTGGATGACAAACGAGAGGGCCTCATAATGGTCATGAGAGATATTATTGTACAAGCAGATAAAGATAAATCACGACTGTTGATACTAGGGGACTTCAACTTTAGAGCAATAGACTGGGAGGCCTATGAAGCAAGAACGGAGGACTTTTGGACATGCAGATTTGTGAACCTCATTCTGGAGACATTCTTGTATCAACACATAAAGCAAGCCACAAGAATGAGGGAAGGAGATGTACCGTCAGTACTGGATCTAGTATTCACCAGGAAAGAAGAAGAGATTTTTGACATCCAGTACCTTCCTCCCTTGGGAAAGAGTGATCACGTCCTGTTAGACATTAAATATGCTTTAAGATATCATCTAGAAGAAAATGGGGACATTGAAACAGTTGATAAACTCGATTTAAGGAGAGGCAACTATGGGGAACTTCAAAGTTTTTTTAATGAGTAATTGGACAGAATTGTTGCTAGGCAGGGAAGTAAATGAAATGTATGCCAAATTTTTAAAACTATACGAGGAAGGCACACAAACATTCATACCAAAACAGAGATGCAGGGCCAGAAAACAGGATTGGTTCGACAGAAATTGTGAGAGGGCAAGAGACCAAAAGACACAAAAATGGAATCAGTATAGGAAGAGGCCAAACCCCCAAACATACCAGCGATACAAAGATGCGAGAAACGACTACACAGCAGTAAGGAGAGAGGCAGAAAGAAATTTTGAAAAAGGGATAGCAGATAAATGTAAAACAGAACCGGGCCTATTCTACAAATTCATAAACAACAAATTGCAGGTAAAGGATAATATCCAGAGGTTGAAAATGGGAAACAGATTCACGGAAAATGAAAAGGAAATGTGTGAAACATTAAATGAAAAGTTCCAAAGTGTGTTTGTACAAAATGAAATCTTCAGAGAACCAGACACAATAAGAATTCCAGAGAACAACATAGAGCGGATAGAGGTGTCTAGAGATGAAGTGGAAAATATGCTAAAGGAGCTCGGGAAGAACAAAGCAGCTGGCCCAGATGGCGTTTCACCATGGGTTCCGAGAGAATGTGCATCTGAACTCAGCATTCCACTTCACCTGATCTTTCAGGCATCCCTGTGTACAGGAATCGTAGCAGACGTGTGGAAACAGGCTAACATAGTTCCAATCTACAAAAGTGGCAGCAGGGAAGACCCCCTCAATTATAGACCTGTATCATTGACAAGTGTAATAGTGAAAGTATTGGAAAAGCTAATCAAAACTAAATGGGTAGAACACCTGGAGAGAAATGATATAATATCAGACAGACAGTATGGTTTTCGATCTGGAAGATCCTGTGTATCGAATTTACTCAGTTTCTATGATCGAGCCACAGAGATATTACAGGAAAGAGATGGTTGGGTTGACTGCATCTATCTGGACCTAAAAAAGGCTTTCGACAGAGTTCCACATAAGAGGTTGTTCTGGAAACTGGAAAATATTGGAGGGGTGACAGGTAAGCTTCTATCATGGATGAAAAATTTTCTGACTGATAGAAAAATGAGGGCAGTAATCAGAGGCAATGTATCGGAATGGAGAAATGTCACAAGTGGAGTACCACAGGGTTCAGTTCTTGCACCAGTGATGTTTATTGTGTACATAAATGATCTACCAGTTGGTATACAGAATTATATGAACATGTTTGCTGGAATGGAATGGAATTTCTTATGGATAACTTATGTGGAATAAAATTTGGAGCAATTATATTATGCTTAATATAATTGCTACACCCTCTACCTTTCTTCCTCACTCCAGCATGCAGGAGGACATGGCTAAGGGTACAGATGCGATGAGTTACATGAAGTTCCTCCAAGGACTGACGATCTTCGTCCAGTGCTCTTTGGAGGCACCCTTCATGTTTATAAACAGTAAGTATCCCGTGTCACCTTGCTCCTCTGTAATTACCTATGTGTAGTTACAGGACCAGAGCTATGCTCCTGGTGTCCCATCTTACTGTCACTGTCATATAATGCTTTGAAACTACTGATGGTTTTGGCCTCCACCATCTCGCTTAACTTGTTCCAACTGTCTACCACTGTTTGCAAAAGAAAACTTTCTAGTATTTTCTGTGGGGAGCCCCTACAGCTCCCTGGAGCTTATTGGGCTAATGTATGTTATATTAGACTGGGACATTAGCTATGGAGTTCAGACCTACCAGGGACCAGCGCCAGAACCTGGCCCCTTCAGAAAGGTTGCAGGGAGCATTGGCCCTGTAAAACCCTCCTGTAGTTGGGTTTTTCTCTTATCTGCCCCGGGGTTAGGCACCCAGAAAGGTAGGCATAACAAAAGAAACCCCATATGGAAGAAACTAACAACAAAAACCGAATAGTAGGGTAGAACTCCCTACAATTCCAAGGAAACAAGCAAACTTAACACACTATTGCCGCGCCGCTTGTCCGCGCAGCTCTCCCCTCCCCGAGAAGGGGAGGGGGAAACCCCGGACCTCACCATGCCGGCTGCATAGCACTCCAGTTCGTAAGCTAATGTCAACTGGGACAGACGCTTCTCTGGCCTCAGTTTCCTAGGCGGTGTTTGCCTTCGTGGTGCTCACTGCTGTGTTTTTGTGTTGTACGGTGGCCAGGTGTTCCTCATCAGTACTGGGGCTGCATACACTTAGGGGCTTCCTTCCCTAAGTGCCCTGCGAGTACTGCCCCTGTGTGACAGGGTTATCTTCCCTGGGGCGTTCAGGAACCATTCCCGTAGAGGTTCTTGCTGCTTGGCATTTGCCTCACCCTTGGGGCCAGCTGGGGCTTAGGGCCCTTGTCTGGCCTTGGGTAGGGATTGGTATTGTGCTGGTTAGGGTGTCAAGGTGTTGCGCGACCCACTACCTATGCAGCAACTGGTTCCTGTTGCCTCTGGGGGCTGTATTTTTTTTTTTTTTATTGCTTGGTGGGGGTTTGCCTAGTGTGGCTATAGTTACACTGGTAGTGTTTGTTGGCCCTCTGCTAGGCCCGGGCTGTGGTGGGTACGTGGCCCTGCGGGCCGCTCCAAGCAACAGCCTGGTGGACCAAACTCTCACAAGTCGAGCCTGGCCTCGGGCCGGGCTTGGGGAGTAGAAGAACTCCCAGAACCCCATCAACCAGGTATCAACCAGGCCCCCTTCCCCCTGTGATTGTACATGTCTCAGGGGTTTTCAGTGTAGGCATCTACCCCCTTGTTAGTTTTGAGTATTAACCAGTTAGCAACACCTGGCCCGGGCTTTTCGTAGCAGTCAGCCTACGGGCCCTGGAAAACCCTATCGGGGCTCGGTGGACCACTGGATGTGTCTTCCGGGTTCCATCCCGTCTTGTGCGGGTTCGTTGGTTGCTGTGCCCTTGTCTCCTGGTGACAGTCGCCACTTTTACCTCCGTCATGTTGCCTGTTGGGTCACTGACACCTTGACCCGGAGTCTTGCGAGTTGTGTTCTCTGCTTGTTCTCCAGTACTCTCCTGATGTCCTTACTGTTCAGAGTACAGGCGACATCCGCGTTGCAAGCTCGGTTCAGGTTGCTGCAACGCGCTAGGTTGGTTTCCCACTTGGATGCCCCAGAGCCGCCTCGTTTTGGTTAAGTGCTGCTCACCCCTTTCCCTCTCTGTTCCCGGCTCCTGACCTTCTGCGGGTTACGGGGTCGGGGCAGGTTTAGTTGGGGACGAGACTCGGCCAGCTTCGTGGGCTGCCCCTTTCGGGTTCGGGACGGAGGTTTTCGAGCCTGTTCCTCCTGCTAAGGCTTCTGGGTCTTACCAGCGGCCCTGTCTTTGCTGCCTTTCCCTTGGACTCTTCCTTTTCTTTAGGAGCATAGGGTGTGGAGGACGGCTCTGCCCCAGGGGCCTCTGTTGCGGGTTCCCGGGGCTGTGGGGGATCCCCACTAGCAGTTCTGGGGCCGTTTGCCCCCTGCCTGGGTTTTCTGCTTCAGGGCGGAGTTTTTTGTCCTTGTCTGCTTCCTTCCCACATTTGCTGGTGTGTTTTCGGATTTATTGCTTTGGTCACGGCTCCTTGTTCGGGTGGCCATTTTCTTCTGCGGTTTACTTCTCCGCTTGGCCACCGGCGGTGCTGCGGTTTGTTTACCGGTGCCTGGGTGTGCGAGCTAGCGTTTTGGGAGAGATTTTCCACCTCCTTCAGGGGTTTTATCTTCCTGTAGGGTCATTTAAAAATGCCTGGCTCAAACTTGCTAATAACAACCTTGAAAACCACAATAGAATGTTCCAACTCCTCTTTCTCGTCTGTTTAACTCTTACACTGCTCCATTCATTATCTGCAATTGCCTCCAGTGTCCCATGTGCCATATGCAATTTTTCTCCATTTGATTTGTTAAATATTATTAGACACACTCACTTTAATGTAGCTGTGTAAAGCTATTTATAGTTTAAATAGCTGTGTAGTTTATGGGTTGACTAATCATCTGCTTCCATTTATCTCTGCCCCAATCAGCTTCATTCAATTTGTAACTAATGAACTGTCAAATTTTGAGTCCAATAACAATGCTCCTCAATCCCTCCTGGATTCTCTCTTCCAGACTGGTTCATGAGGAAACTTGGAGCCAACTACGTCACATCACTGGTTTTCTTCCTGTACATCTTCCGTCTACTGGGCCTGTCTATCGTAGGTGCATATGGTCCAGTGTGGGCGACACTAGTGGTTGAGCTGCTTAATGGGCCTTGCTATGGTCTGGGCTACACAGCTATAGTGGTCTACTCTGCCAAGATTTCCCCACCAGGCACCAGCACCACTGTACAGAGCATTGTCAACCTTTTCTATGAAAGCATTGGTGAGTATTTTGCTGCAGAGATGCTGATGCTAGGAGCAAAATATATATTAGTGTTAAAGATGCTTGAATTTAAGAAAATGCATATATCACCTCTCAGGGGATTCATAGTAAATTTCATTGTTGTGACAATACAATAGTGAAAAAAGGTATACCGTAATTAGGAGTTGAAGGCTGTGAAACATAATATAATTAAACATTTTTTTATACTAGACAGAAATGCAGCACAGTGTAATACACGATTTAATCACTATTACTGTTCCCTAGTGATCATTATATTCAACCTCCCCTCATTTATTAAGGACGAGTAGAAAGAAGTCCGTGCCCTTACACTAGCAGTAAATGGGTTACCGAGAGTTAGGCAACTGTTGTGGGTTATATCCTGGGAAAGGTCAGCAGTTGACCCCAAGAGGACCTCAGTGAGTCTATTCAATGGCTTTCTATCCATGATGACAGGAATTAGACCATAATCCATTTTCTTATAGCTGGAGCAAACATAATTTTGCTTTTACAGGATATGCGGTAGCATCATTTGTGGGAGGCCTGCTCTACTCCAGTCTGGGCGGCCCGGGTACTTACTTGGTGGCTGGTATAACGGCCACCGTCACTTTCGTCCTGCATTTTATCTCTCTCAAGCTATTACCACCACCTCAAGGTAAGTTGCATTTCACTTTCAATGAGAGTATGAGCCACTTCATAAGGCCCTAAGGAAGACCATAAAAATTATTTTAAATAGATGGATAAATTACAATATAAATGTTAATTTGTTGAGTGGAGAGGTACATAAATGAATCTTAATTCTCAAGTGGCACTTGACACTCTCCTACCTATTTGGCCATTGTCACCCACAGGCGCATAAAAAAAAATGTATTTTTCTTCTAAACCTGTTAATTTGTGTTCTCTGATCATGGGAAAAATAATAATAAAAATCGTAAGTGGCATATTTTTCCCGCTATAAGGTGGGGAAGTCTGGCAAAAAACAGGCTCCTCTGACTCATCATGCGTCCCTGGTGGTTTGCTCTGCCCCAGCTGTCAGGCAGGAGTGGCCACAAAGAGATAATTACCTAATTATTTCAATGTCTCTGGTCAATTTTTCTTCGTTTTTTGCTGTAATATTTTTCAATAGTGTGTAGTGTGATATATTTATATAATAAAATGTGTGAATCATCCCTGTACTCAAAATTATGGTGTGCATATTGTTGATTCAATTATTATGTTCATCAAACAGTTAACAAATACTTTGTCAGTTATTACTCTATATATACAGGTTATATATAAGTATCTGCATGTTTTGTTCACCATAATGAACCACTAAGTTGGTATTATGAGTCAAAAAGCAACGAGGAGTGACCACAACACACCAGCCAGTCACTCGCTGCCACTCATTCCCTCAATACTGTACCTCACTCACCACCATTCTCCTCCCACCATACCGGTTTTGCTTTTATTCACTATATACAGACGTTATATATAAGTATCTACACGTTTTGTTCACCACAACTGTACAACTAAGCTGATATAGTTAGTTCAGGCACTAAGAGTCGTCGCTACACACAGTCAGCTAGTGGCTGCCTCCCTCACACATTCAAGGTCAGACGCACTAAAATTTCTCCCCCAACAATACTGTTTGTGGTGTTATTACCCTATATACACACATTATATAAAAGTATTTACATGTTTTGTTCACCATAACTGTTCAACTAAGCCGGTATAGTGCCCAAAGAGCATAGTGGCCACCCCTACCCAGCATGATAAATCATCCAGATGTTGCTACCTCCCTCACCAAAATGGCTTCTTCCCCACACTCCTTTTGCTGTTATTATACTATATATACATGTTATATATAAGTATCTACATTTGTGTTCACCATAACGAACCACTAAGATGGTATGCTGAGTGGCAGTGGCAGGAAGTGGCAGCCTGCCACGAGCTGTCGCTCGCTCCCTCCATCACCTCACCTGACTCACCACCATTCTCCTCCCACCATACTGTTTTTGCTTTTATTCACTATATACAGACATTATATATAAGTATCTGCATGTTTTGTTCACCATAGCAAACAACTAAGCTGGTATAGTGAGTCCAGACAGTAAAAGGTGGTCACACACAGTCAGCAGATAACGCTACCTCTCTCCCCACCAAGATTACTCCTCCCACTACAGCGCTAATTATCACAACAATCCTGCTATTATCAGAATCCTGGTCATTTTTACCACAATCAGGGGTCTTCTGTAATACTATCATCGCTAAATAATAGCTTGTACATATATATTAGGGCATTTTTAGGCAATGCTGTGGTCACAAGCTGGTCAGCAGTGCTGTGAGCTCATGCTACGTGCGCCAGGCATGGTGGCTCACTCACTACTGAGGCCCTCACACCCGGGAATGTGGCCCATGATTTTTTTTTTTAAATGGCGTCTGTTTACAAGAGCTCTGATGAAGGTGAGGTGAACCCCCCGTGTATCCGCGGGCCGTTTAAATCTTGCATTGCACCCAATCACGTCATATGACGCGATGCGCAATTTATTGCAAGTTACTCAACCCTGCATATGATGTGTTGCACAGTTTAAGGGTTAATGTGCATAGCACTGTATATTGGGAGGCATTTTGTTGTGTTAGGTGCCATCAGTAACTGACCAATGTGGTGCAATGCTGTGCTTGGACTACAAGATTACCACACCCACCAGAACTGCTTAGTGGTTCATTATTGTGCATAAAAATGTAGATAGTTATATATAAGTCACCATCCACACCATACGTGTAAGAGGGCCTGGATGCAATCACCAATGAGAAATTGAATGCCACAGGATCCTCAGTCTGTATGGTGCAACATACTAGCTCAAGAAGGTAACAAACTGGCAGTGGGAGTATGCAACAGGGCTGACACAGCAGTAGCAGAGGACGTTGCTGATCTGCATAATGTGATCATTGTGGCATCAAAAACTGAAACCCTTATAATGAGAGACTTTAACCATGAGACCATAGACTGGGTAAATCTAATATCACAAGCAGAAGGAGAAAATTTTCTTTACCTGGTACAGGACTCCTTTCTCGTACAGCATGTGGAAGCGCCCACACAACGTAACAGCATTCTCTCGTCAGAAGAGGGCTTTATTGATCAAATTCAGTTACTGTATAGGAAAAGCTCACCTCCTTGTGTGATCACTATATTATAAGATTATAGAAACCTACATGAAGATTCCGATGGTTAATTTCTAGATTAGCCTCGAGGAGACTATCAAGTAATGAGAGAAGAACTGCAAAACAACACCTGGAGAGAGCTGATAGGTGAACATGGCATGGAAGCATCATGGAGAAATTTCAAGGTCATGATGAACTCTCAAGAATGTGCCAAAAAGGATAAAGAAAAATAAGGGAATTAGACGGATGACAGATAGTACAAACAGCATTGATAACTAAGCAGACCCTTTGGAGAAGATATAAATCAACATTGAACATTATTGATTATGACATAGAAAAGGGGCACTAAACTCAGCCACCTAGGAAATCAAATCAGTCAAAAACAAAAAAATTAAACTTGCCCAAAAAGAAAGAAATATCTTAAGTCATTCTTTGCGGATGTAAGTAAAACCAAAACAAAGGACTCGATAGGATCCTTAAAAGATGAGACAAACCAAGTTATAATGGACAATAAAAAGGGTAGCAAACACACTGAATGAATATTTTACATCAGTATTCACGCTAGAAAAATTAGACGACATCCCCCACAAATGTTTGAAGGTGGTGAAGAGAATGAATTAAGGGATATACCCATAATGTGGGACACATTAGGAAGAGCACTGACAAATTAAAAGACTCAAGAGCCCCAGTCTTTTGGGGCTTTTGTGGATGCCCCAAAAAGATGGGATGGAATTCAATCCAAAGTCATAAAGGAACTAGCAGAGGAACTATGCCTGCTGCTAAAACTGCTTTTCAGAAAATCTCTGGACTAAAGGATAGTTCCCATAGATTGGAAATATGCAAATGTCATCCCTATTTTCAGGAAATGGGAGAAAGAGCTCAGCAGAAAACTACCATTTGATCAGCTTGACATCACACATGTGCAAGCTCGTGGAGAGACTCCTAAGGGAGGAATCATTCACCATCTCACAGCGAACAACCTTGCAAAATCGATGCAGCATGTGCGTGTTAAAAATAGATCCTGACTAACAAACATGCTCACATTTTTGGAAACTGTAACTAGCTACTCAAAGTCTTTTGGTGGACGTAGTATACATAGATTTTGCTAACTTTTGATAAGGTACCACATGAAATATTAGCAAGGAAATTACAGGCACATGGAATAAATGGTAGAATACTAGAATGGACAAAACAATGGTTAAAACAAAGAAAGCAAAGTCTGCTAAATGGGAATGAATCTGACTGGAGAAATGTGGTGAGTAGGGTGCCACTGGGGTCCATTTTGAGGCCAACCCTTTTTGTCACATACATCAATGACATGGATGAGAATATTACAAACCACATCTTCAAATTTCCAGATGACGCACAGATATATCATGAGTTGGAAAATCAAATGATATTGAGTCCTTACAAAGAGATCTAGGGTATATAAACTCCACAAATGGTCAGAAGACTGGCAAATGCTTTTTAATATTGAAAACTGCAAGACTTTGCATGTGGGGCATAACAACTCATGTTACAACTACCAAATTAGTAACATTATCTTGCAGCAGATTGATAAAAAGAAAAGGACCTTGGAGTCAAAATCCACCACTCACTGAAAGTTGCACAACAGGTAGGTTCATTGTACAAGTTTCTGGTGCGCCCCCACTTGGATTGTTGAATTCAAGCATGGAGACCATCTTCAGAAGGACATGGCTGCTTTAGAGCAAGTCCAACACCGGGCAACAAAAATCATTTCAGACGTTAACTTAACTTCCTATGAGGAACAGTTGAGGGTAACAGGGTTAACAACACTGCAAAGCAGGCATGACGGCAGATCTCATCGAAACCTTTAACATTCTGAACAATTTGGATGATGATGATCCAGACAATTTCTTCAAAAGGTCAGACGTAACACAAACAAGAAGCAACGGTTTCAAGCTCAAGCCACATTGCAGGATTGAGAACAGGAGATACTTTTTCACCCACAGGGTTATAAACCCATTGAACCACCTACCTGCCAAAGTCTTAATTGCCAAAACTGTTAAATTTTAAAATCTAGCTGGAAAACATCATCAGCGCAAATGGGTGGTGACCTTTGATAAACTACCAACTTCCTGTGCTCGTCAGAGCCACTAAGGTTAGTGGCCCCACAGGCAAATTCAAGTAAATTCAGAATGTATTCTGCCTGACTGTTCTTGATTCTTGTCCTTAGGAGTAACCAAATGGCACAAACCACATGAAGGTTTGTATTTACAGGCAGAATTATAAAAGCAACTGTCACCCTACATTTTTCTTGGAACGTCTTTATTTCAATCTGCCATATTGTAATCAAGAATTCCAGGGGGGACAGAAATGGTTGGGTATGTTTTCTTTCACCTGAGACCTTTGTTCACCTAGCAATAAATAGGTACCTGGGAGTTGTGGGTTACATGCTGGGAAAGGTTAGTAGTTCAACCCACGGGGACATTGATTCTCGAGTACAGGCTTCTTGTGCCTGAGAATGAGACATATTTTTACATTTGTCCTACTGAGCACAAATTTTTAATTGGGTAATTTTGCATTTGCTGAAGGCTTTTATAAAACAATATCTCTCACTTGGGATATGTAAAGTCTAACTTGGTTTCAGTGCTATTGGAGTTTTATCTTCAGACAGTAACTTTCTTTGTACTATTAGTATAAGAATTACACAACATTGTGAGGTTTAAGAAAATTAGTGACAATTGACTTAATTGCATGATATTCACATTAATGAATATTAATTTGATAAAGTGATTTTTGTTCAATTCCAGTCACTTCATTTCCACCCCCTCATGTCTCATTTTATCACTCTTCCATCATCCTCCCTCTCCCATTCCACCTATCAATCTATCTTCGCTTGCAAGCTTTCTATCAAATTACTCATATACAGATGTTTCCATGAGCTATATTGTCTTTGCAGACACTGGCACAGAGAAAGGACTACCTAACGGGCAAGTGGAGGAGAGCTTGGAGAAGTTAGCATTAAATATAGACAATGCAACGGAGAACCGAGACGAAGAGACTTCGGTGTCAGGAAAGGATGAGGAGTCGGTGGAACTGCAACCAGAGGATGATGGCAATAGATCAACAGCATCATGCAAAGAGCTTTATAGCCATCATTCTGCGTAGTTTATCATTATAGATATACCGTATTTGCTGGCGTAAAAGATGCACCTTCCCATAGGACGCACCCTATTTTACTAGGATAGTTTGTGGAAAAAACTATTTTAGTATGTTTTATCATACATTTTTTGAAAGGTATTTTAAAGTGAATTTTGTACCCCAACTCTTACCTCCTCTAAGATCAGTTGTATAGTTGTTTATATTTTGGGCAAGAGAATTGGCAAACAGGATGTTAAACTTGTATTTCTGGATGTGGTGATATGTTGCCGCATCAGGCCACCAGGACAGCGCACCCGGCTGTGGTGCACCATCACAGCGCTCTGGTGGTGGTGTCATTCACTCATTGCAAATAGCTGACAAGGTGGATGAAAGTTGAATATTCCTTTCAAATTTCTAGGAGCATTTTTAATTTAGATAATGAATAAATGTGTCTTAAAGGTTAAACAGTCGTTAAATAATGTATGACAACAGGTGTGGGTTATGTATGCCGAGTAAGGTGGGGAGATGATGTGAGCTTCCTTTATAACTGTCGACGTACCGTAAGCAATTTTTTGTAAGTTTATGATAACAGACTGTTATAACTCTGCTTTCAATATTTTATTATTAGTAAAACAATTTATGTACTCTAATAATTTGGCTTGTTTTCAATATTTTATTATTAGCAACGATTTGTGCCTAGTGAACTTACCCAGTATGCTCGTCGGGATCCCTAGCCTATGGGCTCTGTCTCACATCCATAATATGGCCGCATTAGATTCACGACACTTTTTTGATACATTTAAAAATAAAAAAAGCGCCGGCAAATTACGGTATATTAATGAAATGAATGTTATAGTAATTCTATGGATGTTATATTAATGTCATAATTTATCCACACAACTAATGTCACTCTACAGCTGTACTGGCTTAACATATTCTGATAATTACAATGATTACTAAGCATCATGGGGGGAAAAATTACTGAATTAGTATAACCATGTAAGGAACAATACCATATTGTTACATTACTGAAAAAAATCCGTAGTTGAACATCCTAGAAGAATGCACATTGAAATCATATAGTCCAGTCGGTAATGCGTGTGCCTGGAGGGGGGTTCATAAATGAGTGTGTGATTCCACTATATGACCACAATATTGATTCATCTTGAAAGAATTGTTACCATCAATCATGGTCTTATGTCATCTGGTCGCATCCCAGGGTTCAATTCCCACAATAGGACCATGGTGGCTGGGCATGTTTCCTTGCCCAGGAAATGCCTCTGTTCACCTAGCAGTACACAGCAGTCAGGCAGTTGATGGGGAGAGGGGGGGGGGTTAACCTAGGGAAGGTCAGTAGTTGACCTATGGGAACCTTACATCTAATACTTCTGTTTACCTAGAAGTTAGACAACATGTGAATAGCATTCTGGGGAAAGTCAGTAGTTGGTCGAGGGGAACTTTGTACCTAATGCCATGGTTCAACAAGCACATCACCATGTAGGACTTTCAATTAACCGAGCCATTTATGGGTTCACTCTTATCAAAATTTGACAGAGTTGACTTAGATACTATGTTTCATGTAACTGATTTTATTGTGCATGTATTTTGCAGTTTATGGAAAAAAAGTTGTGAGCAATATATTTCATTAAATTTTAAGTGCTGCAAAATTACATACAGATGGATATACTGTATACTGTACTGGTAAATAGTACTATTCAATATTTAAATGGATACATAATGAATTCTAATTTTAATGAAGTTTAATAGAATTTATAAAAATTCAAATAGTGGGTAGATCCATAATCATTAAAACTATAATTTGTTATATATAATTACAAAGTATATACAGTATATAGCATATTGTATATACCAGTATACAGTATATACATAAAATGGGGTGGGGGGAAGTTGTAAAACTACATATTGGTGATTAAGTGGTACAGTCTTTACTTAGCCACTAATATGCATAGCATTTTGGGTATTTATTACATTATTGAGAATATCTAGTTAACAGTTCATCAAATAATTAGACATGGAACCTATAATTGAGTTTAAATACTAAAAGTACAAAGGTAAGCAAGTTGCATGAGAAAAAGAGGGGCCAAAGTGCGAGAAAAGACGTTACTGTATCTACAAGTAGAGACCACACATTCGTCTTTGTGTTTCTCTCTACGTCATTGTCTTAACTTGGTACATGTACTCTCTTCAACCAAAAAATTATAGTTGGAGGATGATCATAACAATGAATGTGAGAGATTAAGAAGACAAATAGAAGTACCCCATAAATAGACAAAAAATTCAAATGATAGGCTAAAAAGCAGAAAAAGTTCTAAAAGAAATGCAGCACATTAAGTAGTCTCAATATAAATGGGAGAGTGAGATGAAACCAGGAAGGGGGGGGGGGGTGAGGCATCTAGAGGCAGAACTAAACGAGAGTAAGAGGGCAAATGATATGATTTACATGCCATAGAAATGGTTAGAAACCAGAAATAGCTTGAAAAAAATGTGAGAAATGCAACTCTGATTGAAAATAAAAATAAATAACAGTGAAATGCCAGGTATGAGGCAATGCAGTATAGCTTCAATATTACATCTAAAATGTTGACGACGATATAAGAGGATAATTAAAATACAAAAGTAATGACACTGATGATACATAATAATGATCTACAATGTAGCGCTATGCCAAAGTTACATCCTAACCACTGTACCGTGGGTGTGGCATGTTACACAGTACAGTTGTGAGCGATAAAGCATTAATCCTAGACATTCACAACATATATTATACTGTATTTAACTTGCTTACTCTCGCCTCCAGTGCCAAAGTCAAAATTAATGTCTGTGATAAACTGGAGTAAATATAAGAAATGTGTACTCTGTGTGTGTAATATATATGTGTATATATATGTATAATTATATACCATTCATTCCAGCCAATATTGTGCATATACATATATGCATACATATATACACAAAACCAGTATCCTGTCTCATGGTAAATAATAATAAAAATGAATTCACACACACAATATCAAAACTACTGTATCTACTTCCCTTCTCTTTACCTCTACCTACCCCCTCTTTCCCCCCCCCCTTCCCCCCCTCCTCCTCTTCCTCCTCCTCTCCTCCTATGCTCTTTCTCTACCTCTCTTTACCCCTACTCTCTCTCTCACACAACCTCTCTCTCTCTAAAGGTCACAGTAATTAGTACACCAATACAGTAGTACTGTACTCCAGTGAAACCATTAAGTGTCCAACCAAAACATTCCATACCAAATAAAGGTGAATAATAAATCTGCTTTCTTTATCCATTAAACATTATCATTTTTATTTTTTAAATTGTATGTAGGATAATTTTACAGAGTTGATAAGGTTGTAAACTAGAGAGAGTAATATTTGGAGCCCCTTAGGTGTAACCTGACAGAAGAATGGCAGTAAAGGACTGCCATTCTTTATTGTATTCCATCAACACCTGGGGCTTTTGAGTCTCTTAGTTTGTCAATCTTCTTCCTGATTATGTCGCGTGTAATGGGTATATCCCAGAATTCATTCTCTTTGCCTCCTTCAAACATGTGTGGGGGTGATGGTATGTCATCTAAGCTTTCTACTGTGAACACTGATGTAAAATATTCAGTGTGTTTGCTGCCCATTTATCGTTCATTATAGTTTGGTTAGTCTCATCTTTTAAGGGTCCAACCGAGTTCTTTGTTTTAGTTTTACTTCTTATATATAGGCATAGAACGATTTTGTATTTTTCTTTATGTTTTGGGAAAGTTTTCTTTCATAGTTTCTCTTGGCTGATTGATTTCCTGAGTGGCCGAGTCCAGTGCCCTTTTGTATATATTTTTGTTTTTGTTTTTTGAGATATATACAAGAGTTGTTACATTCTTGTACCTCGATCATTCTTGATATCTTTATCAATGTTGTCCGTTGTGGATTTATACGGTCTCCAGAGGTTCCTCTTGGTGACCTTTGCTAGTTTTACCACCTGTCACTCATTTAGTTTCCTTTCTTTTCTTTCTCCTTTTCGGTACATATTTTTGAACATGTTCCGTGATGACCCTGAAATTTTGCCATGATGCTTCCATGCCATGTTCGCCCGTCAGCTACCTCCAGATGTTGTTTTGCAGTTCCTTTCTCATTCTTTGATTGTCTCTTCAATGGTAATATAGACATTCATCGTCTCTGACCTTCACGAGGGTATTTATGCTCGTCGTCCATATTAAGTTATGGTGATCACATGCGGGGAGATTAAGAGAAGAGATGTCTCCATCATTCTGTCGCACCTCACACAGGTGTTGCAGGGGTAGGAAGTGCCAGTCTGTGCGGATATCTGCAACTTTTTATAATAGGCGTCTTAACACTATGATTTTAACGTCTTCAAACTAGACCACTTTCGACATATGTCAGTACGCCTACAGCACGAGGACCTGCGTCAGGGGCGACGCAGAAGGTCGCTCTCGCAGGAGACACCCGGAGACCAGCCTGCCCGTCTTCCAAAGGTGTCCCAACGTCAAGAAACTGTCGTACTAAATTGCCCTTATCCTAACATACCAGTGGACCCAAAACAGAAAACGGCACAGTATGTCAATTTTGCAAGCCGCTACCATTTTCTAGTATGACAATTTTTGGCCTTAGGTAAAGTATACATCAAAATATGATGTTCTATTGGGAAGACGGGTTGACCTGCAGGTCCACGTGCCATAGGCGACGGGAAGTACCGCATATCAAGTTGGATTTCAGTGCCATTTTAACACTGGTGCAGCTGCACCCTGGTGGCCCTGGTGGCCCTGGCGGCCCTGGCGGCCCTGGCGGCCCTGGCGGCCCTGGTAGCCCTGGCAGCCCTGGCAGCCCTGGCGGCCAGCTTTGGCAGCCCTGGTAGCCCTGGTAGCCCTGGCAGCCCTGGTAGCCCTGGCAGCCCTGGTAGCCCTGGCGGCCCTGGCGGCCAGCTTTGGCCTGGCGTTTGAGGGCTCCGCCGGACCCCACATCCGGCAATACAATATTAACCTTATACAATGTTGCTGTATTACATTGTTATTTTACCCAAGGTAACACTTTCACCAATGTTGGTCCCCATTGTTGGACTTACTTTCTGGAAGTTACCCTCTCTGGGAGGGTCTTGGACAAGACCCCTCCCTTACACGACCCTCCCTAATACACATTATTCAATTTACCCTTGTTACACTTACTAACTTTAATATGCAAGGTTAATCTCACCATGTTAAACTTCGTCCTTTTAATTCAACAAGTACAGTGTATTGTTAACTTATAACCTTAATGATTACAAGTTATTTACCCAGGGTAAAACCTTCACCTATGTTTATCACCCTTATAAATTATAGAATTTTGAATGTAATAAGTTATCAATAATTACATTTATTAACAAACTTTTATCGGCACAGTGTTTGAAGCACCGAGGCGCGCGAGAGACCTTCTGGGGGGGGGGGGGAGAGAACAAGGTGGGGGCGTTCTTCAAGTGCACCATATATGTGCTGCTTGCAGGCACACTACTTAACACCGATGTTATTCAGTAATGGTAATTAATGTCGTCTCACAGACATAATAACCTAGGATAAAAAACTAACTTGTGTATTTTCGTGTGAAGGTTTACACCAAGTCCTTCGCACTCAGGCTTTGTCAAGGTCTAAGTGATTGCATGGGACGAGACTTGTATCACAACGACTGATTGTTTATATTCGTTGTATGTGTGCCTGAAGTGGAGCCACTACACTGTTACTGCTAGCATTGTAAATGTGTGGCCACGTCTGTGTTAAAAAAAAAAAAAAAAAAAAAAAAAAAAAAAACTGCTGGCGGTTTCATTCACTGCACTGTGAGGTGGCGAGGGTGCACCATACGCTGTGACCACCAGTGGTCACAGGACCACCAGTGGTCACAGGACCACCAGTGGTCACAGGACCACCAGTGGTCACAGGACCACCAGTGGTCACAGGACCACCAGTGGTCACAGGACCACCAGTGGTCACAGGACCACCAGTGGTCACAGGACCACCAGTGGTCACAGGACCACCAGTGGTCCTGTGGAGTGGATGAGATTTCACTGATGAAATCTTTGACTTAACAAGGAATAGAAGTAGAGTCCTGTAAACTTCTAGAATTTTGTTGTAGCAATTTAAATACCGCCATTCCATCCAAACTCACCGTCAACCACAACCAGCCTTTCTACCCCTCTCCTTCTACCCATTGAAGTAGTTATTAACGTCTTACTTTCAATTTCCACCAACGTTTTCTTCTGGTGGATCTATACACAAATATAACAGAACATGACACCTTGATAAAAGCTTACCAAGAAAGTTTCCACAGCAGCTTTGGTCTTATAATAATTTTAATTTATGCCCGATGACACCCTCTCCCCCCCCCCCCACCCCCCACCTTTATTCAATACGAATTAGATCACCGGAGGCAGATGAACTTATTAATTTCATAGGACAGTCCTGTATAATCCATTCAGAATACTGTTACAACTAACTATAATATTATCTTACCTTTCACATGGCGTGTTGAGTCTCCCGCGATGAGCTAATACACAACACTTACCTACCTGCAATAATGAACAGTTGTTAGTATTCTGATCTGAATTGTTCATATAAGCAACTCTTAAATAATTTTTTTATACAAAATAGTATGATTTGTTCAAGTAATTCACATGTTTACTAAAGTTGTGGAAACTTTTTTGTGGTCGGTCTCGAGCCCATTGTTAATGTGACGATGTGTATTGAATTTTGTAACTAGCTCATCAAGGCTGTAACTTGCTTAGCTAAATGAATTGTGGGATTCAGTCCCTGAGCCCATTAAGTGCCTCTAACTCTTTGAACTACCGCCCACAGGATGGGTATGAAGTGCATAAAAAATTAACAAAAACTAATACAAGAACAAGACTTGAGAATGAGAATTGATAAGTGTTACGACCCTGGGTTCTTTAGTGGAAACCAGAGGTCAAAATTGAGTTATTAAACTTAACTATAGTATAGCTGAACGCAACCCTATGCGTCATTGTATCTTCCCTGCCAGACGTAAGACTATTATTGTTTCTCAAAGAGCATTTAAAGACTGAGCTGGGGGTTGATTATTAAATAATAACATAGGCACCAACTTTGCTTACTAATACTTTCTATTCATTTGTAAAGTAACAATACGTTGCATAGGGGAAGATCTTTAATGTGCTTAGCTGCACGATCAATTAGCTCCTTCCGGCACCACGACATGCGGGAGGCCTAGCTGGTCGCTAGGAGCGTTCTTCTCTGGCTGGCGTTCGTGGGGACGAGACCTACTCTGTGGCTGCACCCCTACTCTCCTCCCTTCCCCTCTTCCTTATTTCCCTTACCTGACACCATCTGGTCACCACTTGGTCCGGGAGACATCTCCCGTCACGCAGGGTGCAGTCGCACCTCCACAGATCTCCAGTATCAGCTCTTGATACTGGTAATGGCTCAAAAGGGCCACCACTTACGAGCTATTCCTGCCCGTGCCACCTTTTGGGTGGCTTCATCTTCATCTTAACACATTCACAAGGGAGACATCTCCCGTCA